AAGGGGTGAAAACTGGTCAGAAGATTCCAGAGATTATTGCTTTCAATTTGTGAATAATAATTTGTTTGCAAGTTAGCATATTGTATTTACAAAGCACACAACGGTTTTATATGTAATTTATGTTGTAGAACATAAACAGACATGACTAAAAAAACTGTCAATTGTGTTTAAGGACAATCTGGACAGCTGAACATTTGTACTTTGCTACGTTTTTGAACAGAGCTAATAGCTAGCATAAACCTGTTGTTCAAAGATGACCAAAAGAGTTTTGTGAGGGGTGAAAACCACTACAAACCTGGTCAGAAGACTCCCAGCCACTCACTTCTTAGCTAGCAGGTTGGACATGCTGGGGAGTGGTTGATTTATTCCTTTCAATTCATGAATATTAGATTGTTAGCCTGCTAACATCTTACGCTTACATAGGCCACAACAGTTTTGTGTGTAATTTATGTTGTAGAACATAACATGAAAGTTTGTTCAAGTAATGCTAATCAAAGACATGACAAAAAAAAAAGTTAATTGTGTTTTAGGACAAACTTGCCCTGTTGAAAAAACCAGCATAAGCTGGTTAGGTATGTTTTGAAGCTGGGATGCTGGTTTGAGCTGGTCCTTTGCTGGTTTAAGCTGGTCCTTTGCTGGTTTATGCTGGTCCTTAGCTGGTCATGTGCTGGTCCTAAACTGGTTTATGCTGGACCAGTTTAGGACCAGCACATGACCAGCTAAGGACCAGCATAAACCAGCAAAGGACCAGCATAAACCAGCAAAGGACCAGCTTAAACCAGCAAAGGACCAGCTCAAACCAGCATCCCAGCTTCAAAACATACCTAACCAACATATGCTGTTTTTTTCAACAGGGTGGACAGATGAACATTTATACTTTGCTAAATTTTGGAACAAAGCTATTAGATAGCAGTTGTTCAAAGACAACCAAAAGATCTTTGCGAGGGGTGAAAACCACTGCAAACCTGGTCAGAAGATGTCCAGAGGTTAACCTATTAGCCAGCAACCTAGATATGAAAGAACATGGTTGATTTATTGCTTGTTGGCTTGTTAGCATCTTGTGTTTACAAAGCACACAGCAGTTTTGTGTCTAATTTATGTTATAGAACATAACACGAAAGTCTGTTCAAGCAGTTCTAATCACAGACATGACTAAAAAAAGTTCATTCTGTAGAACAAACTGGACAGATGAACTTTTGTACTTTTACTTCTCGCACACACACACAAACTACAAAGCATGAAGGTTATTTCAAGTTCACCAAACAAGCTGCCTCTTTTATGTCCGAAACGTTGTGCACCCTCACCAAAAGACAGTGCTCTTGTTTTCATGCTAAGGTACTTTTGGAGTCCCCCATGAGTACAGTACATGTGTCATTGCTGGGAAATACCTCGTGCGTAAAGCTTTTGGACTATCGTCTATTCGAACGGAAACTTGGCAACAATCTCGCTGTGAACCACTTAAGAAGCTCACTGATATTTACAGTCTGAACACCATAACAGACAATAAGTCTTTTAAAAACACTGGGTCTGACATCTGGAAAGCTGGACGATATGGATGGGGTCATAAAAATGGACTTTATATAGAAGTTGTTGAGAGTACATTTGGTAGGTCTCCTAGCATGTCTTTTTCCCAAAAACGCTGATCTTAGCATCGGCTGAGGTTTACTAAAAAACCTGCCTGAACAGCAGATATTCATCTTTACAAGGACAGTATGACATAACAAATAAGAAGTGGTCAGAAAAGCTCATTGTGATGTAAAAAAAGATATTATTCATGCAAAGATGTGGAAAATGTGGAAAGATACCATTAAAGGTGGATTTTTTTTAATTGGGTCGTAAACCGATGACCAGGCAATGACCTTAGCAACCATGTCGCACAAAAAAGTTTTCTGTGAAATGTAAAAAATTCAGTTCTTTGTTAGTGTATCACTTCTGTAAGTGCATGGAAACTTAAACTTTGTCCAATTTTAATGGTCCCATGTCTATGCAAATCGAACTATTTTCCATACCCTCTATAGCACTGTATAAGGCCTTGACACTAATCACGTACACATATCTGTATTTACATCTCATTGACTAAATGAATGGAAACATGCATAGTTCTGATGCCACACTGGTGACAGGAACAAACCATTCTATTTGTGCTGTTCAGGGATGTGGTCTCTTTCCAGCACGTATGGCTGAAAACCAGTATTTCATGTTCAAAGTGAATAGGAGCAGGTGAATTACACAGTGTATCATGACTATGACAAATGCATATTTCATTACTTTCATTTTTTTTATTCTATGTAAAAATGAAAAATTTTTGTGTTCTATTTTGAGACATCAAATGCATGAGGATTTGGAGATAGATATGTATATATATCATTAAATATATATTGTATTATTCTATCGATCTATCTATCTATCTATCTATCTATCTATCTATCTATCAAATGTATATTTGTGTATGTTTTATAATATATATATCATTAAATATAATCTATCTATCCATCTATCTATCTATCTATCTATCTATCTATCAAAAGCATATTTGTGTATATGTTTTGATAATATATAGTTACACACACTTTAAAAAATGTTTAAATAAAATTTTAGACCATAAATTATTTTGAAATTTGTATTTATATTAAAAAATGTATTTATATAATAAAAGTGAATATAACGAACAGGACCACAATGGAGATGCCAAAAAACCCTCAACCAACCGCCTGCTGACCAGTGTTGCCAGATGTACGATAATTATCGTATTTGTACGATAATTTTGACCTCTGTACGATGTACGATCAATAATGAAAAAAATCCCATAATGTACGATAATTTCATAATTTTATGACAATTGCAGGATTCTGATGACAGCGACTCAGAGGTGGAGTTTGGACCTTCCCACAAGGTACGCCTATGTCCCAATGATTTCCACGATGCGGAAAACACGGATGGAATTGCGTAATCCAGTCAACGGAATTTACTGTATAACGCGGAATGTCACGGAATTTGTCAAAGTTTGGATGAATTAATCAAAGGAAGGTCATTACACTTAAAGGGGTCATATGATGCTATTTTAAAGATCATTATTTTGTGTATTTAGTGTAACAGAATATGTTGACATGCTTTAATGTTCAAAAAACACATTATTTTTCTATAACATATATATATATATATATATATATATATAATATATAAATACATAAATATGCATATATATGTAACTCATATACACATAAATATATAACACACACACACACACACACACACACAATATTTTACTTACACATACATACACAGATATTATCAGCAAAAAAGTTATACTGCAAAACCTGCTAATCATGTTATCCAGCATGAGCTTGTACTTGGAAGCAAAAAATGTAATAATAAAAAAATTATCTGTACAATGTTCACATGTTCAATATCACAATTTTGCCATCTGACATGAGAAATGCACTTGTGGGATGTGGTTGCAGCTTTTGAATCTGACATTTAAGTTGCATCAGAAATGAGTTAGTATTTGCCATCTAGTCATACAGTTTGTCATGCAAATAGTTCCTGTGCAGCAGTTAAATCCGTGATAAGGGATGTTTTTGGCAAACACTAATGCATTAAGCTCCACTCTTAAAGAGAACACAAACACTTGTGCTCAAGGATGGCTAAAATCGGGTTGTCTGTCAGCTGCAAACATGTTGATCTAATTTAGCACTTTAAAGTCAAGGTTTCAACACAGTTTATCTCGTCACAGATGTTTACTCTTCCACCACAGCACTGTATGTTTATTGGTGAGACCCTTGAAACACATGAAATGTGATCTACTGCTCTTTTTCTTTCTGGAAATGCATTTTTTCGGTATCATCTAGTAAATCTGAAATTCTTCAACCGATGCATTAAGCACACTGATCAGTTTAGCCTGATGCTTACAGTCAAGAAGCAAAAATGGCACAAATTACAAGTTTTAGTGGTCAGATTGACTCACATCCAAAGTAATTAAAACAGAGTGATAACACAAACTCATGAGCTTATTTTAGAAACAGGTTTCTAAAAATAAAGCACTGTGGAATGCTGGTTGGGAACAAACCTGTTTGTTTAGTACTTTTTTGTCTGAGACGGATATTGCGTTAACATCCTCAAGTTACAGATGTGACTCAGTATTGTTTGTCTTGAAACGTACACATGTTCTTGTTCTTTATTTTTTACTACTTTGCACATTTTGTAATAAAAACAATCAAAATGATTTAATAGCACAAATGTAAATTATGGGAAAAGGGGATCATGAGATCAAATAATGTTAAATAAATCAAAACTATTTTCATCCTTATACAGTAGTTATACTATATATATATATATATATATAGTTTTGTTCATCTCTGAATTTACACACATACTCATATATTTGCCAGTTTTATAAAGATAAAATAAATAAAATAATAAAAACATCATCAAAATTATTTAATAACAAATGGAAGTTATGGGAAATGGGAATTATGAGAATTATGA